GGAAAGCTAGCTGCTTCCGCGTGCCTTTGTTCTGCTTCGGCCGTGGTGCCCCATCCTCCTCTGGTGCCAACTTCCTCTGCTGGAACTGCTCCCCTCCAACTTGCGGCTGCTTCTTCTGGAGTTAATACTTCTCCCCAGGGTCCGAGCGCGGGCTCGGAAGTGTTCCAGCCCAGCCAGTGTGTCTCCGCTGTCTTGTTTTCCTCGGTTGATTGAGTTGCAGGTCTTGACGTGCCGCTGTCTTCTTCCATTGTGGTAGGTCCGGTTTCTACAGGGTTGGAGGTCGAGGCAGTCGGGACAGTGCCCAAGCGTAGAAGGCCGTCGGAGGCTGGTCGTTCGAGGTCCATCTCGTCGGGATGTGACCATGTCGGCGGCTGCGTGGGAGTTGTTTTTAGTAGCAGTGTGCGGTGGGAGTCGCCGGTGGTGCCCTGAGCCGAAAATTGCAGCACGAAGACTCCATCGTTATCGATCGCCTTTCCGATGTAAGTTTCGTTGTGGAAGAGCTCGAAGGTCTTTTCCTTCCGATTGCTGCGAATGTCGATTCCGCACCGCATGAGTTGAGCTGATGAGAGTAAGTTGTATTGTAGATCAGGGGCGACGAGAATGTCCCCGATGTGAATGGTGAACTTCGTATCATCGGCCTCGAGGTAGATTTCGCCAATCTCATATGCCTTCATTTTTCCGTTGCTGGCGGCAGTGATTTCGCAGGGTCGTCGCATGCGTCGGGAGTTGCTGATGAACCTTGGCGATCCCACCATGTGTTGTCCGCAGCAACTGTCGAGGTACCACGTGTCCAGATCCTCGTGGCGTTGGCGGGCGAGGTTGGCAATCTTGGGTGTGACGATGCGATCGAGGTCGCCGGTGTACGGTGAGAGGGCGAAATATCTGTTTGCGGAAATGCTCGGCGGCGATTCCGGAGTAGGGGGAGGGAGCTCGAAGTCAGGAGGAATGTCTGAGGGGCGAGAGGACCAGGTAAAAGCTGTTGGGTCATTGTCTGGACTGGGCGCAACGGGGTCGATGGGATTGTCGCGAGTGAATGTTGTTTGATCCCAGTAACGGGACCCTCTGTTGCGTCAAGCCATGCAGCTTATGATTGTTCCTTTTCCTTTGTCCTTCGCCGTGATGAGTGCAGGGGATTGGGAAGTGCTGGCAAGGGAAGGAGGCGACACAGTGGCGGAGGGCTTTGTCTGCATCGATGGTTGTTGGCTGGAGGCGTTGCGCCGCTCGTCAGCGGCCTGACGCTTGTAGCACTGGTCGATAGAGTGGCCAGACTTCTTGCAGTATTTGCAGAAAGCTCCCTTCTTTCCGCGTTGTTCCCCTTGTGATGCTCCTGTGTAGAAGACTAATTTCTCCCGTTTAACGTTCTTCTCATTGTACAGGTCGATTTCCTTCTGCTCCGAAAGAAGCGTGGCGCACAGAGCTGACTCTGATATGGTTGCTCGGGCGCGAAGGAGTGACTGGCATTGTCGCCAGTCGGGGCCGAGGCCAGAGATGACCATCGAGATGAACATGTCGTCGGGGACAGTCCCACCATATTTCTTGACTTGGTCACGCAAATTGAGGCACCGGTTGACATACGGTCCCGCTTTCTCCCCTTGCTTCATTTTAACTGAAGTTAGTTGGCTGAGTAGACGGCTCATCGTAACTGGATCTGTTGCCATATATGAGTTGCGCAGGTGTTCCCACAAGGATTGCGCGGGAGCCCACTCCGTCTTATAAGGGCGAATGCCGAGCTGCTCTTCAGGTGAGAGATTGCGAAGGAGAGCGGTGTACGCGAGGAGGGATTCGTGGTAGTATTGATGCTTCTCCCGGATGGTGCCTTCCGAGGGAAAGGGTACGCTTCCGTCGTAGTACATCCAGATTTGAGCGGTTGTCGCGAGAAGCTCGAATTCAAAACTCCACGTGTAGAAATCATTTCCGTCGAAAGGAGTTGAGGTCTTCAATTTTGAAGTCAGTACAAATTTGGTTTGCATTGAAGCAATGTCTGATTGTGAGCGTTGTGGGATGTCTTGTGCAGGAGCTGACCCTTGACGATTGTCAAAGGTGAAGGATCTCTCGGAGTTGACGCGGCGGTCTTCTCCAGGGAGAGGAAGTCCAGCAACGCCGCGTGCATAGCTTGAGCCGTCAACGCTCATTGCGTGGTGGCTCTCAAGGGCGTTGATGCGTGCGACTAGTTCCTCAACGACAGCGGCGCTGACGGAGGTCACCGCTGATGGCGCGTTAGTCGTTGCTGGCGGTGGGCCCGGTGAGTCTGCAATAGCTTTCCCTTCAGGAGCCATAGTATTGCAGAGTTTGAGGTGTAATGAGTAACCTTATAAAGGGGTTGTTCTGAGAAGAACGAGAACTTGACAGATCGTATAATGCACTCTTGCTCTCATACCATGCTGATCTAACGAAGGATCCAGTGGATAGGATAGAATCTGTTAAGTCTGAGAGGAGACAATGAAGTCTCTGTAGTGACCTTGTTGAATAATAATTGTAAGAGAACAAGATGATTGAAAATAGGAGTACAAGATATTAAATAGAAATCTAGCTAGCCATGTACTATGAGGGGTACATTCCCTTATTAACTGTATTGCATAGCTACAGTAACAGTGACTATTGCTTTCCTTGACAGTTACCATGTTGCAGTGAATTAACTGTCGCGCGGTTACTGGATTGTCAAGGGTCACGACCGTTGACTTCCTCAGACGGTTGACCTTCAGGTGACCCTCGACATTCCGCATGCTCTATATGAGCTATTGCGGTACCGGTACAGTGGAACAGCTTTGGGAATGCTTTATATAACCTTTCAGTTATTCCAACAGCGTTTTCTAGCCAATCCTGAGTTTGTAAAGTGTCTAAGTCAGCTTGGAGCACCCGAATTTTCCCTTAGTGTCTAAGTGTCCCCCCCCCCCCCCCCCCCCCTCTTTTCCTCCTTACACAAGAGGAGTGGATTTTCCCTTTGCGTTTTCTAGCCAATCCTGTGTTTGTAAAGTGTCTAAGCCAGCTTGGAGCACCCGAATTTCCCCTTAGCGTCTGACCCCCCCCCCCCCCCCCCCCCCTTTCTCCTTAGGTTGCACAAGAGGAGTGGATTTTTCCCTTAACGTTTTCTAGCCATCCTGTGTTAGTAAAGTGTCTAAGTCAGCTTGGAGCACTCGAATTTTCCCTTAGCGTCTTTAAGTGCCCCCCCCCCCCCCTTTCTCCTTAGGTTGCACGAGAGGAGTAGATTTTTCCCTTAGTGTCTAAGTGCAAACTCTTCACAGGCCCGGATTTTAAGTTTTCACTTTGGGGTGCGCCCGTGACCGTTAAGGGCGCCCAAACGCTCAGCTACACCAAAATCAGGGTCACATGGGGAGGAGCTGGGGAGCGCAAGTATGGGTCCCAGGAACTTCGACAGGCCTGGTCACAATTGCAACACCGATCCTGTGAAAGATCGGTGTGCACAATGTACAGTGAATTCGTGATCTCGTAAAAGTTATGTATCCCATTTTCGTTTAGCCTGTCACGAATATCGTGCACACGCTAATTGACGAGATCGGATGGCTCAAATTACCACTTCAATCATACGATTGGCAACGTGGGAATTGAAATCGCGCCGCCAGTGCCAGCCACGATCGATCGCCGTCGCATACTGTTGGCCAATTTCGATGTGGTAACAGAGCGACATCGAAATTTGTCGATGGGTGTCATCTGCATTGTGTGAGGGCCATCACAGGCCAAGTGAAAAGGCACGACACGTCAGCGAAGCGCGGCTCATGCGCTACCAGCTGTGTATTGCAGCTGGCACGGAGGTCCTCAACTTGCAAATCTGGTCGTGTCCCAATTGGCTCGGGGAAGCAGCCAACACTGCTCAAGCATATTGATTTCATGTTTTCATACAAGATACACACAAATTCGGTGTTTGGAGCCGATCCTTCCCCGGCGTTGTAATTATGACGCGTCCTAACCATCTCTAACCTAAATGTACCGAAAAATAAAAGCCAAAAAAATCCTAAAATTTACCCTCCGTAGAATGATGGGGACAATTTTGAGTCATGCTTACAAGTGGCGGAAAGATGCGCAAGAAATCAATATGATATGCACAGAAGAACCTTGATGACATTAGCGACGATTAGGGTGTATATGCTGTTGTTTGGGGGTGGGATTTCTCACGTCTTGCCCCCTCATTCCTCTCTTCTCCCCTTTCTTCACCCATTCTCTTGGGCGGCGCAGGCGCAGAAGATTTCGTCCAGCCACCATTCGCAGAATGCTGCACTGAGGCCTGAGGCGTGTACCCGTTTTGATTTTCTAACCCTGGCCTCACTCTCTCCACACCAACTAACTCGTGCATACATCCAGCATGAGAAGTAATGGCCCCCATCGCCCATTCGCGAAGACTAAAATGCCATGTTTTCGAGGATTCTGGATTGGGAGGGAGGAATCGTTTGCGCGACTACCATGGCGATTGTACAGTGAATCAGTGACCTCAATGGGGCGCTGCGAGCAATTCAGATACAGTACAGTAGTAATGGAAGACCGTGGGCCGTGGCAAGCCAACACGGCAGACTGAATATCATGCGGAAACAGTGCAGGGAAACTGGCGCTCGCTGTGTCTTTTGATCACGTGCTCGTCTTCATATCAGTCAGGCTGACGTCCGTTCATGTTATCGCGACCGTGAGCACCAGCTACCACATCGAACTTCCACGTCTTAGAAGCTCCATAACAACGATTTATGTTTGCCCCCACAGCGCATGGTTAGTAGCAGCTTGTCCTGAGACCCTCCTGGCCCCTCCTGCGAGCTCCATCTTGTCGCGTTTCGCTGCACCAGGTGCACCAGCAGCCGCAAGCACACCACAGTCATCGTCGCCTTGGCCGCGACCCATTGCAACTCAACCCCACCGCTATGTCCGTCGCCATGGCCGACCGCTCTGCCGCTTCAACTTGGCAGCTCCTCCCCCCCGCATCCACCGTTATTGCCGAACGCGTTGCCGAATCTCCGCGATCCACAGACCCGCGCCTCCTCTCGCGCGGGCGTCGAATCATGGAGCGCGGGTCGGACCCGCCTCCGCTCGCAGCTGATGCGGACGTGGACGCCGCCGCGACAATTTCAGGGGTAACCTCGGAAGCCGGCCCCGCCAGTTCCGCATGCACTCCAACGAGCCGCTCCGGCGCCAGCGGTCTCGTACGAAGCGCGAGGCGGCGAATCCCAGCCCCCACGAGCCCGCCCAGAGCTGCGAGCAGCGAGTCTCCCATGTCCCCTGGTTCCATGGTCCGTGGCGCGCGGTCGGGGTCCGCATCCGCGCCCCGGGGTGGAGGTGCGAGTCCGCCGTTCGTGGACGGGAGCGTGCTCGCCATCCACGGCACAAGCGAGGGCGCGATTGTTGCGGTGAGGAAGGACGCGCTGAGCCACTGCGCGCCGAGCGACTTTGCCGTCCACATGATGACCCCCTGCACTCGCCGCTCCCAACAGCCTGCTGCAGCCGCGCAACTCTCACCCGCCTCCGCCTCTGCCTCTGGATCGAGCGCCGAGGCGCGGAGGCGCGCGGGCAGTCACCGGCGGTCGCTGTCGTGCCCCAGCCACGACGCCCTCATGGCCGAGGCTCTCCAGCCGCTTCCCGCGCCCGGGCCGCGCATGGCGCGGTGCTCGGGGTCCAGCAACAACCTCTCGCTCATCGCCGCCGCCACCGCGCCCACACCCGCCATGCCCTCGCCCAATCGCTATCGCGTCCTCTCCGCCGCCTCTGCCGGCAGTCCCCCGTCGGATTCGCCTCCGCGTGCAACAGCCACCACGCCAGGCGCGACAGTAAACCGTCGCGGCGGCACGCGACCCAGGGGCCTCGACAGTTCCTCCTCCTTTCCCCCCGCATGCTCGTCCCCCGTCTTCACCTCGTTCGCTCCTTCGGTCTCCACCACCCCCATATCACCTGTCGCTTGCCCCACGACGCCTTCGGGCCTGCCGCCTCGCTCCCGGAAACCTGGGAACTCGCACAGCAGCGCGTATCCGCAGGCATCTCCACGTCCCGCATCGCTTGACGAGCCTGCGATGTTCGCGAGTGACGGCGACCGATTGCGTGCGACGTCGCCCACTTTCGTACGAATTGAACCCCCGTCACAGAGCACGGCTGCCCAGATCATGGCGAGCAGCCCGTGGGCGCGCGAGGAGTCGCCGCGATTAACGGCAGCAATGGGTAGGCAAGGCGGGTTCAGCACTGCGGTCAGCCCTAATGCGCTCAGCCCTACTGCGTTCGCATTCCCTCTGCAGAGTGACTCGATACTAAGCCCTCACTCAGTGCCTGTTCTCAACCTTCCTTCGCAAGCAGGCAGAACTGGAAAGGCGTCCGCAAGCAGTCAAACGGCTGGAGTTATGACTGCAAATGCCTTCGCATCTGATGCTCGCGTTGCGCCTTTGCCAAGTGACGAGGGGAGCGATTCAGATGATGATTTCATGGGGCTGTACGAGACGGTGGCACAAAGGAGGGCCATGGTGTCTGCTGCACAGCACATGCTGGCCGCCGCGGCCTCAGCCAAGCCAGGCCCCACCCAGGCTCACAGCACAGCCGCAAGTGGTCATGGCGGGGGCTCACAAGGAGTGAGTGGGGTAGTGAGCGGCGCGGGGGATGGGAGTGGGCGACAGGTGCAGGGACGGAGCCGGCGCAGCATGTCTGCAGACTTCAACTTCTCTTCATGGGCCATGGAGATGTACGATACCGCCAAAGACAGCAGAGGTGCAGAGCGGCGAGACGCCCACAAGGGGGCTGTGGCGCCGAGAGATGGAAGCGCGCAGCGGTCGCTGGGCGCTGGGAGCAGAGGCAGCACTCCGAATAGCAGCAGGAGCAGCAGCAGCAGCTGGAGCAGCCTGAGCCGCCGTGACAGTAACGGCAGCAGCAGGAGCATACGCTTAAGCAGCAGCAGCAGCAATGGCAGTAGTGGCAGCATCTTTAGCGTGTGGCTGGATGACGAGTGTAGTGAAGATGCTGAGATAAACCCTGCTGTGCGCATTGACTTCCCACACGGCGTGCACACACAGATTGCAGAAAGGTCAGAGGTGCGTGGCAGGGTGGTGGGGAGCAGGCAGCTGAGTGGCAGCAAGAAGAGTGTCAAGTTCAATCAAGATGTTGAATGGATCTGACCCTACATGTTGCGGGACCACTTGGGCCTTCTCTTGTTACGGCAGACATGCGAATACCCAACTGCTGTAGTGTGTATAGCTGGTGAATTCTGTATACATGTATGGTATTCATTGAAATGCACTCAAAATCTTAACATTCAATATACCGTACCGTTATTCTTAGCTACACGACTCGGTCTGCACCCTTACCGCATCACACCTTGAACGTCCAGTGCAGCATTCCCCCCTAACCCAGTGAAAAGCGAACCTACACATGCACCATGCAACACACGAGCTTTTGTTGGTCAGCCATGCACACGCAGAGTGTCCCTGTCACCGCCGATCTATCAGATCGCTGCGTCGAATCCCGACACGCGCACAACACGCCCCTCGCATTCGACCTGGCGATGAATGGCGAAAGTTCGGCGTGCGGTAACACGTCTTTGCGTCAATGCGCACCTCGCCAGGAAGGCCTTACTTCCGAAACGGTATTAACGGGAATAGAGGCGCCACGTCAGCCACCGCTGTCGCCGTCGTCGCGCTGCGACAATGCGAGCACTCACCACCGATCGGACGAGGCCATGTCCCTTCGACCGGTGGGCCTCCAGCCGCTGGACGCGGAGGAGTTCCGCGCGCACGCGCACCGCATGGTGGACTATATCGCGGACTACTACCGCGATATCGAATCACACCCCGTTAGAAGCACCGTCGAGGTAAAGCACTCATATATGTGCCGGGTCCCTTCCGCTGCCCCCACCGATCCTTCCATCCCCGAGCCTCGCTCCTCTGGTCCCATCGTCCCACGCCCTTCCATCCGCCCTCGTTGGCTCGAGCGCGGCACCTCTCATTCCCCTCGTGCCCCTTACTCTTTTCCCTCTCCCCCTCGTCAAACGCGGCCATCAGCCAGGGTACCTGCAGCACCACGTGCCTGAGAGCGCACCAGAGGAGGGCGAGCCGCTGGACAAGATACTCGCAGGTAATGCTGTCGCTGCTGCCCGCTGCTGCCCGCTGCTGCCTGCTGTTGGGGTGCTGCTGGGGCGTCGCCCGTGGTGGTGTTTGCAGCGGTCGTGTTTGTACCGGATATTGTGCTAGTGCGTATCATGGCTCTCTCTCGCATTCCCTCTCATCCCACTCGCACCCCTCTCTCCTCCCTTTCTTCCCACCATTCCCCTTCCATCGCGTGCAGACGTGTCGGGCGCCATAATGCCGGGCATAACGCACTGGCAGAGCCCGTCGTTCTTCGCCTTCTTCCCCGCCAACAGCAGCACGCCCGCGCTGCTGGCAGACATGCTGTGCTCCGCGCTCAACGTCGTGGCCTTCAACTGGCTCGCCTCGCCCGCCGCCACCGAGCTTGAGACGCGCGTGCTCGACTGGTTCGCCCGCCTGCTGCTGCTGCCACCCGCCTTCCTTGCCTCTGACTCCGGTGGGCACCACTGCTGCTGCGTGCTGCGTGCTGCATGTTGTATCCTCAGCAGGACGAGCAGCAACCATCATACATGCACCAAAGTGACAACTTTCCCTGCTGCTCCCCCCCTTCTCATCCGCACCCACTACACATCACCCCCATTCCCTCCACTCGTATTAATCAACCCTCCCAACCGTAGAATCTTTCTCATGTGTCCCGTGGCTGTGCTGTGCGTGCAGGCGGGAGGGGGGGCGGTGTGATTCAGGGCACTGCGAGCGAGGCGGTGCTGGTGGCTGTGCTTGCAGCACGCGAGAAGGCCCTGCGCGCCCTGCACGCACAGCACCAGCAGCAGCAGCACGCATACTCACATGCAGCTGCAGGGGCAGGCGCAGGGGGGGCTGGTGGCGAGGGAGGGGGAGGAGAGGGGGCAGCGGTGGGGAGCGGAGGCGGGTTGGAGCGGCTGGTGGCGTATGTGTCGGACCAGACCCACTCATGCGTCAAGAAGGCATGCCAGGTGCGCACTGCCAGGCCAGGGAGGGGCATGGGCATGGGCATGGGCATGGGCATGGGCATGGGCATGGGCATGAAGGTGAGGTTTTTCAAGGGCGGGGGGTGTAATGGTGGTGAGTGTGTCACAGCAGTGGCACATTGTGTTTGAGCGCGGGAGATAGGTTCCCTGTAGGGTGCATGGATGTTTCGTCAGTGCTCTCATGCTCATTACAATCCCTGGCTGATGCCACCACTGCCAAGCCAAGCACCACCGCCTCCTTGAACCACTTTCCCCTCCCCTGATCCCCCTCTTTCCTTCCCTACCTGCCTCTCTCACTCGTTCACACACACATACACATCCGTAAACATGCTCACCCGCTCCTTTCCCCCTCACCCACAACCACAACAACCCTTCCCCGCCATGCGCCCCACCCACCCCTCTCCTCCCCACCTCTTCCCCTGCCATCAGATCGCGGGCATTCCTAGCGGCAACCTGCGAGTGCTGGCCACGAGTGCGAGCGAGAGCTATGCGCTGCAGCCCAGCACACTGCAAGAGGCTGTGGCCACCGACACACGTGCAGGCCTCGTGCCCTTCTTCCTCACCTGCACTGTACATGGACGGCTGCCGCTGTGCTGTGGGCTGGGGCGTGCATGGCCATGGCATGATGCCATGTGACGCGTGTGTGGGGCGACACACACACACACACACACACACACACACACACACACACACACACACACACACACACACACACACACACACACACACACACGGCATGGATTCTCATGTGCATGCATACCATCCCACCTTCCGCATTGCAAGCTGCTCTCTACCAATCGTACTCCTTTTCCTCGTCCCCTATTTTGTGTTGTGTCTCCCCATCCGCCTCCTTCTCTACCTGCCCTCCTCCCCCGTCCAGGTGGGCACCACCTCGTCCACCGCAGTGGACCCCATTGAACCGCTCGCCGCCATAGCTCAGGTGCGAATGCCCTGAATTCATCTGAGCCGCGGTAACCCCTGCGCTGCATGTGTGCTGCTGCACTGCGCACACTTACAGAGCGCTGACCCCTCCCCGTGTGCGCCTCGCATGCTACCCTCCCAGGCCTGCATCCATGCATGCACGCCCGTATGCCACAACACACCGCCCATCTCTGCATTCCGTCCCTGCCCACACTCAACACGGAGGTGCCTGCAACGCATAGACCGTGCACCTATGCATCTGCATGCAGCCGCGGGAACGTTTCAACTTAACAGCCACGGATGGTCCGCTCCCCTCCCCTTTCCGGTCCCCCAACCGCCCCCCCCCCCCCCCCAGGCGCATGGCATGTGGGTGCACGTGGATGCAGCGTATGGAGGAGCAGCGTGTGTGTGTGAGGAGCACCAGCAGCACCTGGCGGGCGTGCAGCACGTGCAGTCGCTGGCCGTGAACGCACACAAGTGGCTGCTCACTAACTTCGACTGCTGCTGCCTCTGGACGCAGGTCGTCCCACACTGCACAAGGGGGGAGTGTGCACGGGGGAAGGGGTGCAGGGGAGGGGGGTGTGCAAGTCCAGGAGGGGTGGAGTTGTGGTTGTGGGATGGACTGAGGCAGTGGCTGGGATGAGGCGAAAGGACCCTTGCTGTATGTGTGCATGGTGGGCGTTGGTGTGCATGGTAGGCGTTGGTGTGTATGGTGGGCGTTGGTGGGTATGGTGGGCGTTGGTGGGTATGGTGGGCGTTGGTGGGTATGGTGGGCGTTGGTGGGTATGGTGGGCGTTGGTGGGTATGGTGGGCTGGATGATGAGCGGTGGGTGCCGGGGAACCATCACTGCTGGTGATGTGTTGCTATGCTGCTCTGGCATGCCATGCTGCTCTGGCATGCCATGCTGCTCTGGCATGCCATGCTACTCTGGCATGCCGTGCTGCTCTGGCATGCCATGCTGCTCTGGCATGCCATGCGGGCACGCACAGGCATGCATGGCAGGGTCCATGTGATGTGACCACCACTGGTTGACCGCACCCTCACCTCCGCCTTCTCTCACATGCCCCACACCCCACTCGCACCCTCAACCCACCTGCGCTACCCGGTGCTACTGCCGTGGGTCCCGGCAGGACACTAAGGCAGTGCAGGACGCGCTCACCACCACGCCAGAGTACCTGCGCAATAAGGTCAGCAGCACTGCCACCACTGCATACCAGCAGTGCGTACCAGCAGTGCGTGCCAGCAGTGCATGCCAGCAGTGCATGCCAGCAGTGCATGCCAGCAGTGCATGCCAGCAGTGCGTGCCAGCAGTGCGTGCCATCGGGGTGCTCTGCTTGCTGTCCTGCAAGGTGCCATCCTCCCTGTCTCGTGTCCTGGCTCGCCTCTGCATGCCCATCCATCTACCCACTCGCTTCTCTAGGCTTGCTATCACACCCCACCTTCCCCCCATGCGCGTCTCGCCTTTCTCATGTGCGCTCCGCGCGTGTCCTGTCGTCTGCTCATCCGTGTGCTCATGTGGGAGGGTGGGTGGGTGGGCGGGCATGAGGGGGAGCAGGCGTCAGACAACCAGCGGGTGCTGGACTACAAGGACTGGCAGGTGCCCCTCGGCCGCCGCTTCCGGTCAGCCTCCCCACCATGCTCCACCGCGCTGCTCCCGTGTCCCCATGCACCCGTGCTCCCATCATTGCACAACCCCATGTCCTCATGCCGCTATGCTCCTACGTACCAAGTGATTGCTCCCTGGGCGGCCATAATCCTTTGTGGCGCGGCTACCATCATGCATGACATTCGCATCACCCATGTTTCCACGCACATCTGCACACTCTCACTCACTCTCGCTCTCTCCTCCTCCTCCTCCTCCTTCTCCTGCTCCTCCTCCTCCTCCTCCTCCTCCTCCTCCTCCTCCTCCTCCTCCTCCTCCTCCTCCTCCTCCTCCTCCTCCTCCTCCTCCTCCTCCTCCTCCTCCTCCTCCTCCTCCTCCTCCTCCTCCTCCTCCCTCTCGCACTCTTCCAATGCCCTTCTTGCTACCCCTCCGCGGGAGGAGGGCAGGGCGCTGAAGCTGTGGTTTGTGCTGCGCATGTTCGGAGCGGCACAGCTGAGGGCGTACATCCGCCACCACGTGTCCCTGGCCTGCTGGTTTGAAGCCGCTGTCTGCGCTGATGCCCGCTTCCAGGTGCTCACAGGTTGCCGCACCCATGCATGCCCACGCACTGCCGCACCCATGCATGCCCACGCACTGCCACACCCACACATGCACGTGCACACAGGCACACACACACACACAAATGCACGTGTGTGGGTACACATGGTAAACTGTTCTGCTGACATCAATGAACCCCGCACAGAGCCTGCCTATGCACTGACGAGCCTGCTCTGGACCGTGCACACTTCCTGCCCCACACTCCCACTCATGCCCCCCTCCCCCAACCACCTCTCTCCCCCCCCGCACCCTCTTGCTCCTTTTACGCACCACAACCCGGCACAGCTGATGGCGCCGCGCACCTTCGCCCTCGTGTGCTTCCGCCTGCGCCCGCCGGGGCAGGCAGAGCAGCACACGGAGGGGCACGGCGGAGGGGAGCAGGGGGGCGGGGCGAGGGGCGGTGGTGGCGATGAGGGGTGGGTGCTGAACGAGGCCCTGCTGGAGGCCGTCAACTCGTCGGGAAAAGCCTTCCTCACTCACACTGTAACACTCTTTCTTCCCTCTCCTCTCTCCTCTCTCCTCTCTCCTCTTTCCTCTTTCTGCTCTCCTCTATCCTCTATTCTCTCTCCTCTCTCTCTCCTCTCTCCTCTCTCCTCTCTCCTCTCTCCTCTCTCCGCTCTCCTCTCTCCTCTCTCCTCTTTCCGCTCTCCTCTATCCTCTCTCCTCTCTCCTCTTTCCGCTCTCCTCTATCCTCTCTCCTCTCTCCTCTCTCCTCTCTCCTCTCTCCGCTCTCCTCTCTCCTCTTTCTGCTCTCCTCTATCCTCTATCCTCTCTCCTCTCTCTCTCCTCTCTCCGCTCTCCTCTCTCCTCTCTCCTCTCTCCTCTTTCCGCTCTCCTCTATCCTCTCTCTTCTCTCCGCTCTCCTTTCTCCTCTCCGCTCTCCTTTCTCCTCTCACTTGATCTCCGAGCATAAGACTCTTGTGGACCCACTCCCGCGTCTCCCTCATTCTTTGCCTTCGCCCCATGGAATGAATGAAGGAGAGAGCAAGCGACCAGTTCCATGATGCGTCCAGTGGCGTGCACAGTTGCAGACTGGGGAACCCTGCCCGTTTCTTGCTCATACGGGATCCACTCGGCATCGCCCACACATTCCCATAGAGTAGCTTGAGAGATGCATGGAGTGGGGGAGCGGGGTTGCACATGGCATCCACTGATACTGATCCCACAGCCTTCTGTTTGCAGTCTAGCACCTGCTTCTCGTTCTCCACCCCTCTTGCTCTTTCCTTCCTTTCAGTCCCTTGGGTCAGCGTTGCACATGGGATGGTTGCAGAGGCACCAATGTGTCTCCACTGTCCGCCTGTCCTGTAACAGACCCTGTGTGTGTCGGATCCTCCAAGGGCCAAGCACTTTGTGACGAACCGTTTGCACATGCAGGTACTGTCGGGGAAATTCACCATTCGCATGGTGGTTGGGGCTTCTACAACTCAGAAGAGGCACGTGGAGGAGGCATGGGAGCTCATTCAACGAGAGGCTTCACGCTTGTTGGAGAGGGTTTGACACCACAGGACATCCCTCTCCCGTTGCATGATAGAGGAAGCCAAGTTATGGCTTTGGAGTGTCAAGCATAATATTCACATAGAGTTGTCACTAATCATTCATGGATGGCTCTGATTACTCCCATTCGAACTTGGGATTAGTGCACAAGCGTGACAACTTAGATGTGGCATATTTGAGAAAGTTTAAATCAGCTCGTTCCCCTGATGTAACGTTACCAGCTATCACGTGTCGCAACCATCTGTCGCCTTCCCAACCTCTCGCTCTCCAATGTTTCCACTCACGCAACAAGTTTCACCGCTCTATATCTATCTTCACCGCATATCTCTCCCATTATCCCTACACTCCCTCGAGCTCCTCGCAGCACTCCGGATGCGCTCCCTCCACCACCTTCCTCCCCTCCTCTCCTCACGCTCCTCTTCAACCCTCGCTGTCCCTCCCTCCGTTATTCGTTTTAGTCACGTCGCCATGGCCTGCTGCAGCCTTCAGCTCGCGGCTCCCACCGCCACGTGGAAGGGTCAGGCGCAGTCGCTCACGGCTGCCGGCGACAAATCGTCGTTCTTTGGGCGACTTCCTGCTGTCTCACGGTCGCCGCTCGTCGCCGAGTACGACTCGCACTGCACACCTTCCCGCTGATTAGTAGCATGTTCCGCGGTCTAAGCCGTTGCTTTCGCGTCGTATCCGGTTGCGTCGCAAGACAGAACCACCAGCGCGCTCAGATCATTCTCGGGTGTTAGCGGCTGGAAGGGCCTATACATAGTTTCACACTCGAAACTTAGCAGCAGCACTCGGCGGGGCGTAGTGAGAATCGTATTCAGCTATACCGTCAGTGTGGGAGCTTAGTTCCATCTGATTGCAATTCGCGGGCGATCTCAGGAGTAGCGGGGGACCACCACTTCACGCGGCCGTGATTCGGTCGTCGTATCGCCACCGCATCACGCCGTCACTCTTAATTTCGCCCTCGCCTATTTCAGTAGCCTTCCCTTCCCCGGCCCTCATGCCCCCCCCCCCGGGGCCCCCATGCCCTCACCCCGCGCTCTCATGACCTCCTACCACCCTCTCATCCCCCCCCTCTCCGTCCGCCCGCCCTCTTCTCCGCCCATCCCTCCCGCAGCGTCAGCGTCGTCGCGTCGCGCCCCGCCGCGTCCAGGCGGGTCTCCGCCGCTCCGCGCGCGTCCAGCGGGCTCATCGGCGTGAGCGGCGACGTGGTGTCGCCGCGCGCGGCGCGGCAGAAGATCCCGCCGATGCAGCCGGTGGTGATGACGCCGTCGGGCCCGGCGGACCTGATGTCGGCGTTCCTGCGCAACCGCATCATCTTCGTGGGGTCCGCCATCAACCAGCAGATGGCGCAGCGCGTCATCCAGCAGCTCCTCGCGCTCTCCGCCGTCGACGACCGCCAAGACATCAAGGTGCGCGCCCGGCTGGCAAGATTGGGGGGGGGGGGGGGGGGGGGTGTTGAGACGACGGCAAGGCGTGGCGCCGCAAGGGGGGGCAAGGCGAGCGAGGTCGTTGAGTTGCTGCCAATCGCATTACTGCTCTGCACTGCGCCTTCCCGTAGATCCGCCCATTGCGCTTTCCCTTTCCCCTAACCTGAGCATTCCTCTTCTGTTCCTCCCTCTCCCCCTCTTCCCCTTCCCGCCACCGCGTGCGCGTGGCGGTGCCGTGGTGCGCGTGCGCGCGGCACAGATGTACATCAACTGCCCCGGCGGCAGCACGTACTCCGTGCTAGCCATCTACGACTGCATGGCCTGGGTGCGTCCCCCGCACTACCCCCCTCCCACCCCCCTCCCACCCCCCCCTTCCCCCTTTCCCCCCTCACACACACACACACCCCCACAACCGCACATTTGCTACCCTGCCAGCCCGTGCCGTGTGCGTCGCGCGCCATGGCACGTGGCCTGAGGTTGTCGCGTCTCGCTTCCACTCAACACGCCCCGCTCGCTCACTCTTCCGTACGCGCTTGCGCGCTCACTCTTCCGCCCTCTGCGCCACCACATATGGGAGAAGCACCATGCTGCCACCACCACTACTCGCATGCGCTATCTTATTGACCCCTGCCTGTTCCTGCATGCATCATCTGCACGTGCACCCATCATTCCATCCATCATCATCGTCGTCGTCGTCGTCATCATCATCATCATGCGTGCACCACTCATCACTTAATCCCCCCTCCCCACCTCCTTCCCCCTCCCCACCCCCTTCCCCCTCCCCACCCCCTTCCCCCTCCCCACCCCCTTCCCCCTCCCCACCCCCTTCCCCCTCCCCGCCCCCTTTCCCCTCCCCGCCCCCTTCCCCCTCCCCACCCCCTTCCCTCTCCCCACCCGCTTCCCCCTCCCTCCCACCGTCGCTCCCCCTGCGTGTGTGTGAGCGCGCGGGCGAGCAGATAAAGCCGGACGTGCAGACGGTGGCGTTCGGCATGACGGCGTCGCAGGGCGCGCTGCTGCTGGCGGCGGGCACCAAGGGCAAGCGCCTCGCCATGCCCAACTCGCGCATCATGATCCACCAGCCCCAGGGGGGGTGCGGGGTGCGCTGGGGGATGGGCGGGGGGGAGGGGGAGGGAGAGGGAAGTGGAAAGGGGGGGAGGACGGGAGAGGGAAAGAGTGGGAGGGGGAGGGGGAGGGGGAGATGGAGAGGGAGAGGGAGAGGGAGAGGGAGAGGGAGAGGGAGGGGGAGGGGGAGGGGGAGGGGGAAGGGAAAGGGGATTGGGGAGTGATGCAGTGGCAGTCGCAGGTGGGGCGTGCATGGGCATGGCTGAACACATGCTCACACCGGCCCCTCACCCGCTCCCTCCACCCCATCCCACCAAACACCTGCACCCCACCTACCCCACATGTGCACACACATGCAAAAATCACGCACTCACGCATTCACAAGCGCATGCACATGCATGCATGCACGCATGGAGATGTGCATGCATGCAGAACAGATGTGTTGCCATGGATACAGGCTCACGCATGGTGATTGGTTCCACGTATGCCATGTCCACTTGTTATGCCATGTCCACTTGTTATGCCATGTCCACTTGTTATGCCATGTCCACTTATTATGCCATGTCCACTTGTTATGCCATGTCCACTTGTTATGCCATGTCCACTTGTTATGCCATGTCCACCTGTTATGCCATGTCCACTTGTTATGCCATGTCCACTTGTTATGCCATGTCCACTTGTTATGCCATGTCCACTTGTTATGCCATGTCCACTTGTTATGCCATGTCCACTTGTTATGCCATGTCCACTTGTTATGCCATGTCCACTTGTTATGCCATGTCCACTTGTTATGCCATGTCCACTTGTTATGCCATGTCCACTTGTTATGCCATGTCCACTTGTTATGCCATGTCCACTTGTTATGCCATGTCCACTTGTTATGCCATGTCCACTTGTTATGCCATGTCCACTTGTTATGCCATGTCCACTTGTTATGCCATGTCCACTTGTTATGCCATGTCCACTTGTTATGCCATGTCCACTTGTTATGCCATGTCCACTTGTTATGCCATGTCCACTTGTTATGCCATGTCCACTTGTTATGCCATGTCCACTTGTTATGCCATGTCCACTTGTTATGCCATGTCCACTTGTTATGCCATGTCCACTTGTTATGCCATGTCCACTTGTTATGCCATGTCCACTTGTTATGCCATGTCCACTTGTTATGCCATGTCCACTTGTTATGCCATGTCCACTTGTTATGCCATGTCCACTTGTTATGCCATGTCCACTTGTTATGCCATGTCCACTTGTTATGCCATGTCCACTTGTTATGCCATGTCCACTTGTTATGCCATGTCCACTTGTTATGCCATGTCCACTTGTTATGCCATGTCCACTTGTTATGCCATGTCCACTTGTTATGCCATGTCCACTTGTTATGCCATGTCCACTTGTTATGCCATGTCCACTTGTTATGCCATGTCCACTTGTTATGCCATGTCCACTTGTTATGCCATGTCCACTTGTTATGCCATGTCCACTTGTTATGCCATGTCCACTTGTTATGCCATGTCCACTTGTTATGCCATGTCCACTTGTTATGCCATGTCCACTTGTTATGCCATGTCCACTTGTTATGCCATGTCCACTTGTTATGCCATGTCCACTTGTTATGCCATGTCCACTTGTTATTCCATGTCCACTTGTTATGCCATGTCCACTTGTTATGCCATGTCCACTTGTTATACCATGTCCACTTGTTATGCCATGTCCACTTGTTATGCCATGTCCACTTGTTATTCCATGTCCACCTGTTATGCCATGTCCACTTGTTATGCCATGTCCACTTGTTATGCCATGTCCACTTGTTATGCCATGTCCACTTGTTATGCCATGTCCACTTGTTATGCCATGTCCACTTGTTATGCCATGTCCACTTGTTATGCCATGTCCACCTGTTATGCCATGTCCACTTGTTATGCCATGTCCACTTGTTATGCCATGTCCACTTGTTATGCCATGTCCACTTGTTATGCCATGTCCACTTGTTATGCCATGTCCACTTGTTATGCCGTGCCAAATCCTTATCTGCTTCCTCGCCCTGGGATGGATTGACTGGTTGTGCCATGTTGCTGTGTGTGATGCGCCATGTGTGATGCGCCATGTGTGATGCGCCATGTGCAATGTGCCATGCATGCAACAGGGTACATCAGAGGACGTGCGGCGGCAAGTCAACGAGGTCATGTCGTCTCGTGATGTACCCCACTCACCCCACCTCCCTACCCTCTTTGTCCCCTCTCTCCTCGCATCTCTGCTCTTCATCTGCCCTGTCGCTGCACGATCCCTCGCATACTCGCCCTGCATGTGCCATACCATGCCATGCAACAATGTCAACCTTCCCCTTTTGCACCCATGTCCACGGCACATGTGCCATCCCTTCAACTGTCTATTTGTGTTGGAGTTTCTTTTGCCTGGCCTCGGCTCTGCTGCTCCTTGTGTCGCTCACTCGCCCGGCTCACCATTCGTGTGCTCGTATGCGTGTCTGGATGTGTGTGCTCCTAAAATTTCTGCCCCCTCAACTCTCCATACATGTGTGTTTGCTGTCTCTCTGAATGCGTGCATGCATGCATGTGTGTGCCTCTGTGCGTGCGTGCATGCATGTGTGTGCCTCTGTGCATGCGTGCATGCATGCGGGGATGCGCATGTGTATGGGGGCCATCAGAAGCTGGACAAGATGTTCTCAGCATTCTCAGGGCAGCCAGTGGAGCTCATTCAGAAGTACACCGAAAGGGATCGCTTCTTTTCTGCTGCTGAGGTCTCTCCTCCCATGCCCTCCCATGCCCTCCCGCGCCCTTAAGTTACACTGCCTTGTCCACTGGCCATGTCTCCACTGTCCTACCCTTCTCATCCCGTCTCATTGTTCTCTCCACGACTGCCTCCTCATCTCGTGCTGTGGCTGACCACTCCAATCCCTCATGCACTCTGCACCTGCGCGTGTGCCCTGCGGTGTGTGGCAGGCCATGGAGTTTGGGCTCATAGACGGGCTGCTCGAGACAGAGTACTAGCTCTACATACCAACACCATCCCGATATTGCTCACACTTATTCTGGACTATGTAGCTTGCCAGGCTTGTCAGTGATTCGTTTACCCTAGGTAGCATATCCATTGTATTCCTGTATGTCGTTTTCAGAAAGCAATACGCAGGATCTGTCTGTGGAACTGGCAGTGAGCATCAGGGGCACAGCAATCAGTGAGTCTAATTCGTTGTGCTGTGCTGGCAAGTGCGGTGTAGACAAAGGTTGGCTAAGAGGTGTTGGAAACAAGTGATCTAAGCGCTTCTGTTGTGTCGAAACACTACCGTCATCGCCCGGATATAATACATATATGTCTTATCTCGTACACGGGCAAAAATGCTTGAGTTATCTTGTAAACGGGATGGTTTAGGGTGTCTTATAAGTCTTATAAATGGAAAAAAAAATAAGTTGACTATAACACTTGCAAAGTGTGTAGAAACCACCCAAAGACCAATTTCATTTAAACAGGCCGACCTCGGTGGTGATGCATGCAGCGCCCACACTTTCCATGTGAGGGAGCTGCCACCGCTGGCAACATTCCTCTGTGCTGGCAGCATCTAATGATGCTGCCAGCGTCGTTTTGCTGCCAGGAGCGCATGGATGCTTCCAGAACGCTGCTGGCAGCACGTTGGCAGCATGAGGGCTGTCCTCTACGAGGAGATGCCTCGTAGAGGAGCGGCTCGGCACCTGTGGATGGGGCACTCTGGCTGGGGGGGGTAGTCGGGCTCTCACTTCATTTCGTGCTCAAGGAGGTTGAATACTCGTCTCAACCTTGCTCTCGGCAGGCTCTCTAACCATGCGCAGCAAAGTACCAGTAGGCAAGTCCTCACCTCGTCCTCACGTGCAGGTTAATAACTACGGGCGAATTAACTCGCCCGGCGATGACATCCGTGTAGCCATGGCGAAGAACGCGAGCAAGGCGGCAAGTCCTACCGCCGCCTCCGGTGCGAGCTGTGACGGGGACGACGGAGACGAAGCGAACGGCGACGACCCCGAGGAGGATTGGCCGAAGAACGGCCACGACGACAGCGCTTCAGGCGACGATGTAGGTCCTGCTGACATCGAGGAGGACGACTGGTGGAATCGGCCGGTCGGGAGCGACGACGAGGTGGAAGAGTGGCATGCTGGTGATTCCGACAACGACGGAGGTAAAGATGCGCATGGTAACAACGCAGAGGCAGCGGCGGATGCACAGGAAGCGGCGGTGGATGCGAATAAGGAGGCTGACGACGAGGCGGGGGCAGAACTTGAGACATTTGCGCCTGCGGGTGCGGCCGCAGTTGCGGATGCGGAAGGCGAGGAAGGCGGCGACGACGACCCATGGAGCTTTGGGACCGACGACGACGTCCCGCTACTGAAGCGGAGGCTGCGCCATCGCCTACAGTCCAAGTCAAAGCGGGCCCGCGTGGTGCTCTCTGACGACGACGGTCCGGGGGAGGAGCGTCGCCCGATACTCACCGCTGCGGAGAAGGGGAAAGCCAAGGTCGCGGAAGCCCCTGCTAAGGCCCCTGCTAAAGCCCCATGCTCGTCGCCGCACAAGCAACAAGAAGCTGACATCCGACGGAGACCCGGGATCCAGCAAGGGTGCGGCTAAGAAGAAGGCGAAGAAGGTGCCGAATCCTGACGACATCGTCGTGAACGAGCCGCTGGGCAGCGACGATGAGTACGCGGCGGCGGCGGGCCCGATTCCCACGTTCCCTGAGAAGGTAGCGCCGAGGGACCCCACCCTCCATAATCCCAACACCCGCCCACCTTCCCCTCGCAGCAAAGACACTACGAAGAAGCGCCGCAGTTGGACCGTGCGTGAGAAGCTTAAGTGGGCGCGCCACTATCAGGAGCTCGGCTCCTTGAAGAAGACGAGCGTGGAGTCAACCGCGTCCATCGCCTGCATCAGACGCTGGTGTGCGGAGGCGGAAGCGGGCGTCTACAAGGGCGCGACCAACTGCCGCAAGCGGATGCACGGGGGGGGGCGCCACTCACACTACCCCGACATGGAGCTGCACATAGGGGCGCTGAGGTGGAAGCTGACGTTGCCCATCACGAACTTTAATGGCTTAGATTTTATCTTGGGGCGAGATTTCTTGAAGCGGTTCAACCCCGAGACCGACTGGGTCAACAGGAAGGCGTGCATCTAAAGCAACGGGAAACGAGTGGAGCTGCGAAGCTGGACGGATACAGGGAGCATTCCTGAAACGACACTGGCACAGTTCGAACGGACTATGAACGAGGGTAACACGGGATACTTGGCAATGGTTATGGCAGCAGCAGAGGAGGAGAAGCCGAGTTTGGAGCTACCTGCAGCAGTAAAGGAGGTGTTGGAGCAGTACAAAGATATAATGCCCGACGACCTACCCGCAGGCGTACCTCCAACACGCACCCACGAGCACGAGATCGTGGAGGAACCAGGTGCGAAACGTACCATCTGCCTTCAGCGCGCTAACGGGGTGGCCATCTTGGTGAAGGACACCTAGAAGTGGAGCCGCGAGTGGATGAAGAAGCATTACCCCGGCAAGAACTGGAACGCGAGCTCTCACTGGAGCCAGCGTTTCCGTGACCGCTGGAACCTGGTGATGCGGGTGAAGACCAAGGTCGGCCAATGTCTGTCGGCAGGTGCGTGTTGAAGGATTTCGTCTGGCGCTCTATTGAATGCATGTACCTCACCCAGTGTCTAACCATCCCGTGCTTTCGTTGCGCTTGTCCCGTTTGCAGAGTGCGCGAAGGACTGCGAGTCCTTCTGGAAGTTTGTGCGCATCAACAGGGCGCGGCACAAAATCGACCTGGCCCGCATCATCAACGCGGACCAAACTCCACTATTCGTGGAGATGCCAGCCGAACGGACGATCGAGCACCGAGGCGCGCGCTCGGTCCCAATCCGCACTGCAGGCTACCAGAAGACGCGCTCGACGGTGATGCTCGCGTGCACTGCATCCGGGGAGAAGCTGCGGCCGTGGGTGTGGTTCAAGATGAAGATTGTCCCCAACTGTGAGATTCCGGAAGGTAAGAGAGCGTGAATTCAACCGTGCGACTGCCTGATGAGCGTGCCCCACTGTGCTGATGCCCGTCTGTCCCTTGTGTGCCTGGCAGGAATCGTGGTCCAAGCACAGGACAACGGGTGGATGGACGAGACCGCTGTGCAGACCTGGCTGTCCAAGGAGGTGCTACCCCATCTGAACCCCCAGCGCGGCCAGTACGCAAGGCGGGCGATGCTGGTGTTGGACTCCTACCGCGGTCACATCACCCAGACCATGCTTCAGTCGTACCGCACGCACAGCATCACCCCTGCAGTCATCCCAGCGGGTTGTACGAGCCTGATTCAACCCCTGGACGTCTCCATCAACCGGTGCTTCAAGGCTGCTGTGCGAGCGCGCTACGCCAGGTGGTTCATGCGTAAAGGGATTCACCTGAAGACGAAGAAGGGTGAGTTGGTCCTTCATTTACGGTTTTATTCATGTTCTGTTTCGTGTCCTTGTCTTAAACAAGCTCCTTCATATCCATGTCTCTTACATCTCGCTGCCCCGTCCTCTGTCCCACCCGCAGGGAACCTGCGGAGGCCTCCGCACCCCGTGGTGCTGCAGTGGATCGCGGAGGCTTGGGATCAAGTCCCCAAGCAGATCATCATCGACGCGTTCCGCCACTGTGGGATCTCGACCAAGCTGGACGGAACAGAGAACCACCTGGTGATGTCTCACCTGCGCGCCAGGAGCACCACCGATGTCTCCGCAGACATGTCTCTCGGGGGGACCACAGGCGACAACACGCGCCTGCTCGGTCGGGCTCCAGAGGAGGAGGAGGAGGAGGCGATGCAGGCGGAGGGCGTGCGGGAGGTGGCCGTGGCAACCGGCCTGGAGGTGCTGTACCAGGAGACCCCCAACTACCGCGGAGCGGCGGCCGAGGCTGACCGCATGATCGAGCCTAGGGAGACGGCTAGGCATGCCTGGCGAGTGCCAGACCTGGGTGTAGAGCCTGATGTTAGTGCAGGTGAGGAGGCGGTGACTGAGGGGGGTTAGGTAGAAGTAGAGATTCCTGACTGTATGCATGTACCCCCCTAAAGTAGGAAAGCTAGCTAAGAAGACACCCCCTGTTTATAAGAAAACCCCTAAACCCTGGTTCTGATTATAAGACATATATGTCTTAACTCGTACACACAAATAGGTGTCGTATAAAAAGGCTAGCTTGTTTATAAGAGACACCCGTATAGTAGACAACCCCTATCTACTATTCAACACTGTCTTATATCCAGGCGATGACGGTAAGTCGTAAACGAAGCGAAGAACATCGAAGCATCGGCGAGTCAACCATCGGAGGTTGAAGAAGGAAAGTAACTACTGAAGGTTACGCGAAAGTCAAAGTTCAGCGACCTTTGACCTGACAAATACAGCGCGACAACAAGGACAAACAACTTACAGCATTCTCCCGGATAAAATACCCCCCCGTAATTGTACACCCCCGGGTAGCTAATACGGGGTGGGTGTTATATCCGAACCCGTTTGTACTATACCCCCCCTTTTGGGGTGATTTTCTATAACACCCCCCTTTTCTTATAGATTCATATTATAGTTGTTATCGAGTCCGATTCCTTACGGGAGGATATCGCGAGAATTGCTCCCTAGGTGAAATTTCGCGTGTACTTTCACTTAAAATCTGCCAAGATTTCCCCCCTCCCACAATCTCGCTGTCGCCACGCTGGCGAATCTTCCTCTGGAAGTGGACCAATAGGTGAAAATCACCTTCTCACATGAGGCACAGACACGTGACCAAACCGGTCAAGAAGTGACTGGTACAGTAAGAACGCACCACCGTGCGCGATTCTGGCCTCGGCGGTTGCATGAACCCTCGCCACGCAATTGGCTTTGTTTTCACCCTATCAAGTGCCAAAATTGCCCACTCGAATATGCCACGTGGCAGATTCCAGTGGGCGGTCACGTTATCCTCGTATACTCGGTTTTGCGGCACTGGTCAACAATCTTGAAGTGAAGTCAGACACCTGATTT